ACTTCCTAACTGTAAGAATAGTTAAGTACTGGAATAAATTACCTAAAGTGATTGTGAAATCTCCATCACTGGAGGTTTTTAAGAACAGGTTAGTCGACAAGTGCCGGAGAAGAGCAGGATAATATTAAGTTCCACCTCAGTGCAGGGAACTAGATGAAATACTTATCAAGGTCCAAGGCCCAGATTTACAGCTTACATTCCTCTAGGTACAGCATCTTCAGCACCCCTCTTCACCTACAGTTGACCTTGGTGTTTTCTATAAAAAAAATGAAACTTTTAACCCACTTTTAACTTTTAGGTGCTCCTAGAACTCCGATAACACTAGCTACATGCCTGCTGTGCCTAACTAGAAAGCCAGCCCTGTTGAGGACTCTTCCAGTCCAACTATGATTCTACATACTGCCCCACTAGAAAGAAGAAAAACAACAATAGCATCATATTCGTGTAGGAATATCCCTGGTAAAAGGGCTTGCACACGTAATGATTCGTTTGTCATGATTTGAGTGGGATCCTTGAAGTTCTGGGGCCTGTTCTTGTTCCTATTTAAGGGTATGTCTACACTACCCCGCTAGTTCGAACTTGTGAAATGAGGAGTAACGGTAGTTTGAACTAGGAAGCCTAGTTGGAACTACCTAGTTCGTGCCCCGTGTAGCCGCGCTGCACGGGGTTCGAACCAGCGGGGTTTTAAAAATGGCGGCTCCCCGCTTATGCAAATGAAGCCCGGGAAATTCAAATCATGGGCTTCATTTGCAAGTGCAGTATGCCTACATTACCCTCCTAGTTCGAACTAGGAGGGTAGTGTAGACATACCCTAAGTGAGTGGAACAAAGCTTTTTTACTTAAATTATTCAGCATCAGTTCTTTAATTACCATGTCATTTTGAACGGTTAAATTCCCCTTAAATTCTCAATCCTGCTCCTTCTCTCAAATTCATTTGTCTCTCGGGAAGCCTAAATTTTACCCCCAAATCAGATTTCCCATGTATGAACCATCCAAACATTATTATCCATGCTACTTACAAAATGACACCACCCTAAGTGCTGAGTTGGACAATGAACAACAATAAACCAAATATATACAATAAATAATTCAAACAAACCTTCTTGGAATTGCAAAGAATAGCTGCACAGCAAAAGCATAAATGTACTAGATTAACTTGCACTCTTTCTCCATCCAGATACATGAGTCATGCTGATTTGGAAAGCATTTTATAAATGCTAATAATTGCATACCACCTTTTAATTAGACATGGCCTAATTTAAAAAGGATAGAGATATTTATAGAACCTGCCTCCCCGGTGTGTAGCAGCGATCCCCATTGTCATATTGTTTGGCAAACAGGAAGAGCATCTGTGTTATTTAATAGGTATAATATCATCAGCAATGGGTTTTTTTCAGGTTTGTTGGCATACCCCCATTCAGCTTCACAAGTAACAAATCAGTCAATGCCTGAATCCCTAAATGAATTTAGCACTCAGATCTTTAAATGAAAATGATGTGTAACCCTTCTGCCGGGTAGGCCTGGCAGTAACCAGGGCCCGGTTCAATAACTTGGGGTCCATCTCACATAGAACCGGCTCGAGCCCCCACCCAGTAATCTGGGAAATTCACACACCACTGGGCGCCTCGGAGAGGCAATGCTTCCCCACTCACAAGCACTGAGTCTGAGTGTAGGAAAGAAACATTTAATGAAAGAGAGAGAGAAGTCATACGGCATTAACTTGGGGAAAACATCACAAACAGAGTTCATAACCCAAACATGAGCCAAGCCCCCCCAGCCAAGAATTGCCCGAAGTCCAAAGAGTCTGACACCCCAAAAGTCTCTGTCCCTGGTCCATGCCACCCAGAGTCCCAAAGTTCACCCGCAGGGTTTCACCTCCCAACCTGGGTAGAAATAGGGGCGGGGGGATAGATAGGGGGCACCTTATACGAAACTCCGCCATGCTCCACCAGCTGTCTCATCCTACGCCACTGGACGCTCCGCTGGGCGCCCACACCACTGGTCGCCGCTTCTTGCCTGCCGCTGCTCCTACCAGCCACGTTACACCACCAGCCACTCTGCTGGTCGCCGCCACTCCACTGGCTGCAATGGGTCTGGCTCTCAGCAAAACCAGTGATTTCAGCTCCCAGTGATTTCCCATTTGCCGGACCACCGTCTCTCCCTGCTTCCTGAGCTCTAGATCCTGCAGAAAGCCCTCTACAATGTTGGAGATAGACAGCACTGCCAAATTGACTGAACACCCCTTGTTCAATCTACACATAGGAGAGCCACACAAAGGGGAAACTCTGTGTGCTGTGACGGGACTATTCAGGCAGGTCCCTTTCTCATTCCACATGTTGCTGTGACACCTTGGTTCTGTTGTGACAGGTAACAGAAATGCTTCCAGAAGAGTACTTTGTGTGGTATTTCTGATCTGGTCACACCCAGGAAATACTGGAAAATAGAGTAATGTATGTGGTGTATTATTTATTTCTCAAGATTATTTATATTTGTGTCATTGGTATTGACTAAAAATGAAGATTCTCAGGGGAGCCAACAGACTCACTGGGCCCTTGGGCCATGTGGGGGGACAATTCTGTGCTCCCAGTAGGGGCACAACTGAGGCAGCTACTCAAAGTGCCATCTGAAGCGTCCACCTGGGGGCTGTGACAGCTGGGAACCTTGGGCTCTTTTGAATCACCGGGCCCCAGGGCACTCACCCTCCTTTCTCCCCCCATCAGCAGGCCTGTTTTCAGACCTACAAACTTCCACAACCAGCTAGTTTTTATACTGCTGCACAGTTTATCTGAGTCAAAGAGCATATTTGATATGAGCCAAAAGCTGTGAAAAAGACACATTTTGTTCTCCTATAGTCTGTCAGGACAGGACAAGGCTGAGCAAAGATTTTAGCAAGCGACTACACGTTTAATAGGACAGTTACTCTTAGATATTTGGAAACCACTGTGATGAGCACAATACAAAAATAATAGACTAGAAAAGCTATGGCTTTAGGACACAAACTCACTTTAGAGACTAGCATGGGAGAGCGCTGCCTGTCTGGGCACTCCATAAAGCAATGTGTCTGCATTAGGCACCATACCACTTTGAACCCTGGATGAGAAGTGTGGTTGCTGCACGCTTAAGTAGATTGACTGAGATTTTTTCCTCTTCTATACGTGGGCAATTCCACTGGCCAGTGGATGTGATCCTTCCCCAATCTTCTCTGCCACCTTTGGAAAGACTAGCACTAGAAGCACACCAAGCAGTCCTAGCTCTCTGTGTAAAATGGGTATTCACTCCCACACCCACAATCTAATTCTTAACTGCTCATCTATTTTAATGAACAGAATCTGAGTTTTAACCAGCAGAATATGGGTGACCTTGCTCAGATAAGCCTGCTGAAATCAAGAACTGTATGCTCAAATGGCCTCAGAAAATCTGCCTTTTTGATGTCATAGTGACGCTAAGAAAGAATTACCACCAGCTTTGTGCTCAGAAGCTATGACATGGAGAGCTACTCTCTACTGAATTAATTAAAATGTTTCTGCGCTTTAACATACCTGATCAGGCAATAGCAGGGAACCTTCTTCTCAGTTTGATAATGCAAGAGATAATCATCTAGTTAGTTAAAATGATGAAAATGTGCTTAGGACACTTCAGAGTCTCCACCACCAAACTATATTAGATAATATTAGTGTGTGTTCTGTGCCGAATCACTACATTTTTCTTGGCCACATTCAGCTCTGGTGTAAGATGCCATAAGCCTGATGTCTCCACCCTGCCCCCATCCTTCCCTTTGTACTAGACATCTGGGCTGAATTTGGCCATAACACACCAATGGATGTCATCAACAGCAAAAATATCCAAACTTCAGTGCCTAAGTTAAGTTCCAAAATCAGTATTTAGCTACCCAAATAAAAATGGGCAGACTCTCAGAAATGTTGCATTCCCAAAGTTAATATTGGAGTGAATGGGAGATTCAGATTCTCTGTGTCTTTGAAAAACAGGCCACTTTAATATATGTGCCAATATGTAGATCTAAGCATATTTAAGCACCCATGTTTGAACATTTTGCCAAGAATGGCCCCTCCTGCAAAGCCAAAGGCTGTGTTTAGACTGCATCTCTTTTCCATAAAAGGGATGCAAATTAGACACATTGCAATTGCAAATGAAGCGGGGATTTAAATCCCCCCCGCTTCATTTGCATAAACATCGCTGCCGCTTTTTTCCAGCTCGGAGCTTTGCCGGAAAAAAACGCCAGTCTAGACGTGGATCTTTAGGAAAATAAAGCCTTTTCCGAAAGATCCCTTATTCCTAAAAGGGGAATGTTTATGCCATGTTTATGCAAATGAAGCGGGGGGGATTTAAATCCCCGCTTCATTTGCAATTGCAATGTGTCTAATTTGCATCCCTTTTATGAAAAAGGGATGCAATCTAGACATAGCCATCATGTGTTAAACTAAATTAGAGATATTCCCCTAAAATGGATGCTGGATTTAAAAAATTAAGTGCAGTTCTGTTAATTCCATTATTCCCCAGAAAAAATGGAATTAACAGAACTATTGTCACAACCAGCCAGTTTCACAGAGCTACTATTCTCTCCTCAGTGCCCAACCACCTCATGAAGCAGCTGATGTTGCATGATGCAACAGAATTTAGGAGCTGAAGATTCCACAAGAACTAACCTTCCCATAGTATTTCCTGTGTTACAGCTAGAATTCTCTTCCTCTTTCTGTCTGAAGTTAAGACAGTTTATCATGAAAATGATCTCAGCAACAGAAAGAGAGAAAGCCACCTACTAGTTTGTTAGACTCCGCTATTCAGATCTATATGATTATTGCCATTGCAGGTTATAGTCAAATTTGTGCAGGACTCCAATTACCCACCTTATCAGAAAACATTTGTGGGGGATTTGTGAATGTTGTAATAACTGGGACTTCAAAAAACTATTGAAAATGTACTACACAAGTATGGACTTTTGGGACAATAAGTGTTAATTGGATTTTCTGGCAATTCCACAGGGAGAGAGGCTAATGCAAATTACCCAACTCTGGTTATGCAAAAAACAAGCCTGTTGAAGCTATACTCTGAGAGAGGGTCTTTGTCTGCTGATTACCTGTTCCTGAAGGCCAAGATCAAAGACTCAAGCAGTATAAAGAAACACATGCTCTATCCAGCCTAAATTCTGAATATGAGACAGCTATGAACCTGTGAGCATGGGGAAAAGCCAGTTGTGGCTTTTGAAGGACTGATAGCTACAAGAGCCCGAGGTTGGAGCTGGGGTGACCTCTGGTAAGATTCTTTTATTGTTTTCAATATGATGCAATGTTTTTACCTGAAGAATAAATGTGCATACTTATAACAAGTTGTGTGGTAAGTTGTTATTGTGGGAAATAAACTAAGCACAGCCTCTAGTAAGAAAAGGCCAGAATCTGTGCTTGGCTTTAAGTAATTTGGCATGCTGGGAACATCAGTGTAAGTGAGGAACTATACAAGCTGGAAAAATTTTGGTAAGGAGATCCCTGCATAAAAGAGGTGATGTATGTGAGCCAGAAACCTTTAAGTGCATCTCCTTAGTGAAATACGAGGGGGAAATGTAGCTACAGTTGCCCTGAACTGTGACAACATATGCAATAATAATCCTGAATTCTCTGCTATCACTGTCATTATTCTAGAGAACTTTACAACAAATGGCTGTTTTCTCCCATCATTCTGGACTTCATCCTACTCCCATTAAAGTTGATTGGAATCTTTCCTTTAACTTTAATGGGAGTTGTTTTGAGTTCTTACTTTGAATCTGTTGTGTGATTTTCACCATTTCCTTTTTTAGTGAAACAAATATGTCCATCTATTTTTGATGAAGTGTCAGATGATACTGAGTCATTTGTTGCTCAAGATACTAAAGAAACGTATCATTCAGCGATGTTTCTGGTGTAATGCTCAGAATACTATCTTGTCCTCTAAGAAGCTCATTTTCTTAAAAAAAAAATATGCGTTCAGAAACATTACTGACAGTGCCACTCGTGATAGCTTCAAAATTGCCTTTTAACCACTGATTGTTATTTATTATTTCTTTGGCAGTAACTCCTAAGAACACCAATCAAGGAGTGGTGCCCCATGATGCCAAGCACTGTACAGACAAGTCATAAAGAGATGATGTTCCAGGGAGCGCACACTCTGCATGCCAGACAGGACTTACCAGATGGGTGAAATAAACAAACTCGGTGAGGCTAGGCTAGGGTGGATGACACAAAGATAAAATGAACATAAAGTTTACCAGAAAAGCAGAAGTAACAGTTTACCAGTTACTTAACCAACGCTAGTCAGAAGCATATTAGTAGGCATAACAGCAGAGGAAGATTTTAAAGAAGTATTTAGAGGACAGTGGCTTTATGAACTATGACATGGACTTTTTCTCCATGCAAATAGGTGGCAGGGGAGAGCGTGACTGAGAGAAAAGCAAGTAGGGGGGTGAGTAAGGCTGCCGTGAATGGCAGAACAAGGACTGGAATGGATGACTCCACAAACTAGTCGATCTGCATTATTCCCTGGAGCCTACTGAAAGAACAGTTTAAAACAGAGATTTTAAAAAGTAAAATCTTCCAATCATTTATTTCAGAAAATGTCTGTTACTTAAAAACTATACCAGGTTTTGTCAACTTAGTAAACATAGATATACTGTGCTGCTCTCTACTTACCCAAACAGAGAACTGCTTGGCTATTGGCCTGCGTTAGGTGAGTGCACTTCCGAAATGATCTGGGACGCAAGAGGAATTGGGCTTCCAGAGTTATAGCCTTGTCCCAGGTTTTGCAGTGGACTTGAGCATACAGGCTGCACTTATCCACTAGGCTAGTACAGCTTGCATTGCTCTGCAACTGCACAGCTCTACAGGGTTGTGTGAAAGAACATGGCCTTCTCCCCTCCATACCTGCCTTAGGTAAACTGAGCACCTAATGGCACTGGAGGGATAGAGCTCTCTCTGCTGTCATAGAAATGTAATGACTGAAACTGTCTCTGTGCTTTTTATTGGCAGCACAAAAGATGTGTCAGAGGGTCTTTGCATTCCACCTTTGCTTTCACACGCACACACACAGCTAAGCTTTCCTGCCAGGGCCTCATCTGTTCCCTCTTTCTGAATGGCCACTTCATCTCTTGTATCCCAAAAGGGATACAACAAACTATGCCTGCCACAATGAATCAACTGAACTTCAAGAGCTCTGTGCAGGGCTCTAGCAGTTACTAACACATGAATTGGAAGAAACCTGCCATTTTATTGCACTACTCATCTGGCTTCCTCAAAAAGTCTACTCTCTGTCTTTTCTCTACATTGCTTTCATTCTCTAGGTGCTTCCTTGCCAATTATTTATATTCTCTTCTCCCTTGGGATTCAGGTGCTAGCTGTGATATCAATATTCTCCTTAAAAACTCCTGCAATCCAAGTTTGTCTAACTGCCAGGTAACTTGCAGCCAGAGTATAAGATGGCTGACTCCCTTTGCTATTCTGGCTCTCAGGGCAAGGGCATCTGGATTTATAGAATAATGATTTACACACTAGCCCCTGCTGCTTTCCTTTCCTTCTCCTATCACATCTTTCAAAACCCAAAATTATCGTAGAAAATACATTTTGTATTTTTAAAATTGATTTCCCACTTAAAAAGCTGTTTAAATAATATATTAGAATTTGATAGATGTTAACATTTTTTAAATCTTCACCTAATCAATATATTTATGCACATTAAAATTTAATTGCACTCCTTATATTAATTTATAATCATTTCAGTCATTATGATCATCAGCCAAGACCCTGCAACTGCTATGAAATGTCACTTAATTTATATTTCATAATGTCCAAGTTACCTACTTCCAAGCAAGTAAAGATGCCCCTGTCAAATGCAATACACTTTTTGATGTCATCAGCATCATTTGTTTAAATCATGATGGACAGATGAGACGGATTTAAGTTTCTCATCTGGATCCTTCTTTCCAAAAGTGGACAATTATTGCAATGCAATTAGAGATAAAATCTCCATGATGGTATTAACAATGAGAAGTCCTGTGGCACCTTATAGACTAGCAGATTTATTGGAGCATAAGCTTTCATGGGCAAAGACCCACTTCATCAGATGACATGCATGAGGGAGCATACTACAAATGCTAAGCCCATAGTGGCTGGACCTAAAGCTATATATTTTTGAAGCTGTTTACTTAGTTAAGGATGGCATAAATTGGACCTATCTTAATGATTGCCTTACTTTACAAATAGTCTCACTAAAATCAGGGAGACTACCTAAGGAGTAAGGTACAATTCATCTTGAGTAAGGTAGCAGAACCTGGCCCATTAGTTTTAGGAAGAAAGAGATAAATACGTTTATATCATCTTTCTTATTTATAATTGTAAATAGTTTGCCAAGTACTGGATGACACAGTGCTGTATCACAAGCATTATACTGCTAATAAGAATGGACATTTTCCTTTAGCTCACGTGGCAAGACAGAACTTATGCTATTGGAGCAAAAGGGCTTTCTCTACTGCACCCATGAAGTTCTGAGTGGCTGTGAAGTGCAGCACTGTGATAGTCTCAGACTCTTGAGTGGTATTATAACAGATTTGTTATAATACCTTGGTAGAACAATGAGCTGCTTAGATATTTTCATCTTTATATTTACTTAGCAGTTACACAGAAGAAACATTAATCAATCCTGTGTACTTCATGGAATTAATCTGAAGCCAATTATAGGTTAGGACAATGTTTCTTATTCAAGAGCATATTTAACTGATTTTGTGTCCATCCTCTTCCTCCTTCATCTTGTCATAAACTCTATAGCAGTGGTTCCCAAACTTTTTGGCATCACGGCCCCTTTTTTGATTTTTGAAAAACCCTCACGCCCTCCCTTCCCTCCCCTCCCCAATAGCAGCAAAACTTGTTGAGCAAAAAAAAAAGGAAAAAAGGAACTGAACAGGGCAGAAAAACTTAGTTTGGGAACCCATGCTCTATAGCCACAATATGAAATAATTGTCTGGCATGAAATTGAGCTTGGACATTTGGAGGATTTGGGGGGAGAGGGTCTTTCATGTAAAACTATTTTTAAAACAGAAACATGCAGCCCCTTTCTTCTCTCACTGATACTGAATTAATCTAAGAGGAATGTCTCTGTAGAGTTGTACCATTGTAAAATATGTATAGATAAGATGAGAACTGGGCCCCATTATTTGGTAGGGGAGAAAAAGTGACATATAATTGTAAATTTCCAACATACCATGGTACAGTACTTGTTTTAAAAGTTAATTCACATTTAATTTTTAAGTGTACATTAAACAGGCTTGTCTAGTAATCAGTGTTTGAATATGAGTAGAAGTAGAAGCTGTCACTGAGTCTCCTAGTTGGGTAAAATTAAAATTAGGCAGATCTGATTCATTTAGATTTGGGTTTTCGGTGTAGTGCACTTTTAAAACTTAATAGCTCAGAATTCTACAGAGCATAATCCATTTTGTGTCCACTTCAGTGTAGCCGTCACGAAGGAGACACACACACTTTAAGTTCTATCCCAGAGAATGTACGATGCTTTTTTGTTTGGTTGTAAAGCAGCAGTCATTCAGACTGAAAATATTGGTTGATTTCTGGGTATGGAAAAGTAGACCATCAGGATAGGCTTTTCCAACACTGTTTTAAGCTTGACAGTGATATGGTTTGATCTTTACACAATAGTATCAGTAAACTCTGAACATACACCAGCTCACTTTAATATGTCACTAGCCTCCACTGAATTCTACCTTATTTAAAATCTTTTTACAAGGGTGGTATTCATCCCAACATGAATAGATCCGAGTTCTGAGCGTACAATTCAAAACTGGATTTAAAGTGCAGCAAATCGATATAACGCTTGTTTGCCATTCGTGACAGGATCCTGAAAGGATGCAATATTATACAAACACCAGAGCAACCCAAAAAGCATTACATCTACTTTGAGGAAGGATAAAAAGGAAATAGCACTTTGCAATACAAACTTGGTCTAACTGAAACACCCAAAGTCCCATCATTAGTCATTTAGCCTTTTAGACCATTAGTAATAACTTTAACTGGCATTCACATAAGAAATTATTTAATTTTGGATTAGAAAAGGATTATTCATCATGCAGAGATATACAGAAATCCATGCTTATGCTGAGTTACTGTGTCTGTCAAAAGACAGTATATAGCTTGTCTGCATCTAATTATGCTGTAAAACGTTTTCATTAAAAGGAAATTGTCCCTGGAGTTGTTTTCAAGGGTTGGAAGGTCAGATATATGTTAAAAGTCACAGAGAGAAAGAACTTAACCAACATGTTATGGAAAGAGTTGAGAGAATAAAATAAAATCAGGATCATGCTCCATAAAGTGTCTTTCTGAAGAAATGGATCATTGCACAATCATAGCAAGAGACAATTAGAAGAGCAAAAGGAAAAGCCAAAAATCTGTTAAGACACCCAAATGCCCAAAAGAAGTCCAAAGTATGATGTGAGGTAAAAGGAGCAATCCAAGAAGGGAAATGGCTGGATGATCTGCACTATTTTACCAAGAATAACTGTGAGAAACTGTAGTGAAATGGAGGAGGCAGCTAAATGCCCATTCAGGAAAAATAAGGGCCCAAGAAAATTTTCAGTTTGGGCAGTATGGCATTGAAATTCTATTGCCTGCAGAGGCAGAGCAGAGCAAAAAAGACCCTTTGCGAGAACAAACAAACAAACATACAAGAGATGCTTCCTACTCTGGAAAAATACTTTTTGTCTGAAGTTTATGGACTGAGAAATGTGTTGATGTATAGGCAAAATGAATTGTTTGCACTAAGTAGGTGACATTTCATGCATCTCTACCTTTGACAGTATTTAACAATATTTCTGCTGTGAAGCAATTCAAATTCACGTCTCTTGGCATCCTGCCAATTTGACTGCTTTCTAAGATGAAGGTCTTGAGCAATAATAGTAGATTTGCTATGATGTTAATGCATAACTGTTCAATCTTGAAATTAGCAATGGCTTCAGTGAGTAAGACTGGCTATGGCTAAATGATTATGTCTAGGTCATTAAATAATAGTGCTTTTTCCTAAAACACCTCACATGAGACATTTAAATATAAACTATAGGACAAAGAAAAAGAGTTCAAACTGTTTTTGTACTGAAAAAAATCTAATGAAAATTTGTGTATAAAAATTACACAAAATAATAACGGTATTTGAAGAGCGAGGAAAATAAGCAGGACAATTATGGACAGTGAAATGCTTTATCCATGAAGAACATTGTTTTCTTTCACTTCCCATCCTTCTAAACAGATGGCTTCAAGGAACTAAACTTAGAAAGTCTGAGGTGTAGGAAACCAGATAGCATTCTGCAGCAGGACAGGAAATAGAAGGCTCAATGTGTTTGAAGTTAAGATTAATTCCTGACTTCCTCTGGGGCTATTTTAAACAGTGGCAAACGATAGCATACTATCTTGCAAGAAAAATGACAGATGATCAAACACTGAATATGATCTGTATGTCAAGCATTTGTATCAGTGTGACAGGTCTTTCCTTGAGGCATTGAGCAGGGAAGTATTTTAACATAGTGACTCCTATTTCCCCTCATCTGTGTTTATTAAAACATAGCAGTAGCTGGGAAAAGCTGAAGCACTGCCTGGCTGAACTACCACAGGCCAACAGAAGAAGGGCAGCCTAAGATGGCTTTGGTTTGGATTGGATTGGCAAAGGTTAGTGTCTCACTGCTGCCTCCACCTCCTCTGAATGACGGCCAGCACCTCACTCACCTCCTGTGCCAGATACAAAGGGAAAATACTCCCCCAACTCGCTTCTTTGTGTAAGAGTGAGGGAAGCACTCTCTCAGTCCCCACAGGCAGTCCCAGACTAGTCTGCCCTGGGAACTTGCGTCAGCATAGGTGCATCTTTTGAGGGAGAATCCTCCTCCCTCCCCCAACCCCTCACTGGCATAAGCACTACAGTGACACAGTGGTCTGGATAAACAGACCTGCACTATAGGGGCTTGAGCTGGCACACCAAAAATAGCAGCATGGATGTTGTTGCACTGGCAGAAGCTCAGGCAAGTCACCTGAGCGTGGACCCTCTCTCCTCTCCCCCCCAGCTCTCGGCCTGAGTTTTAGTGGCCAGCCAGAGTCTTTAGTAGACACAGAATGTTCACACTGCCAGGGGCAACAGGTTTGGAGAAATTTTGGTGGTTCCCAGAAATCCCAGGGCATCCAAGGCAGGCAAAGAGCTCCAGCAGGCCTACCACAAAGTCAGGGAACAGAGCAGATGCTCTGTAGAGACACCACACAGCTGCCAGTACTATGACCAGCTGGATGCCATCCTGGAAGGGGGACTGGTCACATCTCCCACCATCATCATTGAGTCCAGCCAAGACATGCCTGGTATCAGTCTGCAGGAGGGTGGGATGGTGGAGGATGATGAAGAGGAGAAGGAGGCCAACCAGGAGCTGCTCCTGACTCTGGAGCTGGTCCTTCCACCCCTTCCCAGGATGTCCCCCAGGCTTCAGAGGAACCCAGGAAGGGTACTTCAGATGAGTTCTATAACTTTCCCTATCTACACGTGGGGGCAGGCGACAGGCTGCAAGGGGCTGCATGCTCCTCGCTTGGCCTACTCAGTCTGGGGGGTCACACAACAGCCTGTGCATGTGGGTGCACATGGAGTGTCAGTCCGGAACACTCAGCCGTATGACGCTCTCACACAGGAACCCCTTGGTCCTTCTCACAAGGTTCCTGGAGAGGACTGCCTTATCCCAGCCTCTGTGGTGGGACACCTTGCCATGACAAGTCACTACTAAGGTGTCTGCGGTCACGGAACCACACAGCAGGGCCGAACAAGGCACAGGGTCATGCCTGCACTCAGTCAGCATCCACTGAATTAATCTAACAGTGTAAAAATTCTCACCCTCAGGGGGATACATCCATCTGCTGAGAGCAATCTCCTCAAATGTTATGATTAGCCTGAAAGTCTCTAATGCCAGGTCCACATATCTTAAACACTAGCCAATTAGCCCATCATAAAACGGGATTTTCAGGTCTCTCCTCCACTTCCTATTCCCTTTCTATCTCCGTCATCTTTCCTGAGCCTCCGGTCTCTTGCTCCATCTCTCTCAGCTCTCCTCCATCTCCTGCCTCTGTCTCCATCTCTCTTTCTCTTCTCCCCCTCCTGCCTCTCACTCTCTTCTTCTTCTCCTCACCCTCCCCCTCCTTCATGGGGAGCACGGAGTCCAAACAGCTGTTTGTGCCACTTGCTCCCACCAGGCTGAGCGGCTGCCAACTGCCCCCCTTCACCCCAGCACTGATCCTGCAGCCTCCCAGTTGTCCTCCCCCTCCCACTCATTCCCTTGGCCTCCCCCCAGCCAGGGTCTGTTCTTGGCCAGGGGGCAGGGCCTGGCTGTGTACATCACCACCCTGCCCTCCTTCCCCTCCTGCCATGGCGCTTGGCTGAGTTCTGCGCGGCTCAGCCAGGCCACCGCGGGGGAGCCCAAACGGCCGCTTGCTCCACTTGCTCCCCCACAGCGGCCCGGCTGACCAGCGCAGAAGTCAGCTGGGAGGCAACAGCGCTCCCCAGAGGCAACACGTAACACCACAGCGTTACAGAGTCACAGACATTGGGCTACTATATATATAAGTTTTATTTTCTCTGAGATATTCTTTTTATTCTATCTTATTCAGTGCTGAAACTTGTCATCTCTTCATGAGACCTTTGCATTCTGTACTCTGCCAATGGGATCACCATTTATTTTCTTAATTGACTCCAAATGCTCTTGGCAAGTTTATGCACTGGCCAAGACAACAGATAATAAAAGAGTCTACATAATGAAAGGATTCATTTTAAAATCTGCTTTTCTCATATAAAAATGTCCAAAATATATTAAAATATACAGAAGAGACTCAGATCTGGCACACTCTTCTTTGCATATAGCCCAGTTTTTAAATATAAAGCCCAATAAAACTGTCTTTGGCTACACTAATAATTAAGAAGTCAATTAATTCTTTGCTTTTGCCTCTAGTGAGTCTGTTGCTGTTCCTAGCTATCTCAGTTGTCTAAGTGACGGAGACATAATTCTAGTGAATGTAATGAAATCCACTACTATTTTGGACCTTCTTAGTGATAAAGGGCTCAAAACTCACATTTATCCTTGTCCTCATAAAGACTCTACAGGACAACTTCATCCATAAACCTGAGTGAAACTCGGACTAAGGATTGAGATGAAGGTATGAAGGTGACCATGTAGTAGGCCTAGCCTGGGACATACTGAAACTGCTTTGGCCCTGATGCACATTACAGCATAAACATAAACTCCAGCAGCAATGGCTTATATAATCCATTCCAAAGCTGGATATATCAAGGACAGAGGTATTCCCAAATACATCTTTTCCCTCATGTATCTGTCTTCTGTGTCCCCTGAGACACAGGGTTCTGCAGGATCTCCAGACTATACCAGCTCTATCTGTGCCGATAGAATTCCTTTGTGTTGGTGGAGTTAATGTAAAAGGGCTCTAGTGGATCAGTGATTTCAGCCCTGTGTTCCTTGACTGGGGTTAGTACCTTTTGTTATAGCATCTGATCTGTTGCACACCTCCCCTTTGAGCTGATAGACTTGCCTAAAACTTTGGAGTCTGAGGCTATGTCTAGACTGCAGGCTTCTTTTGGAAGCAGCTTTTTTGGAAGAGATCTTCCAAAAAAACTTCTTCCAAAACAGAGTGTCTACACAGAAAAGCGCATGGAAAAAGTGATCTGCTTTTTTGACAGATAGCATCCACACTGAATGGATATTGTCTCACATGTAAGCTGTGATTACTATGGGTGGAATGGCCACCAGGGCACCTGTACTTTTCCCTCTTTCCTCTTATTGAGAAAGAACTCCCTCTTCCCCATCCATATATGCCTTCTTCTGAAAGAGCTCTTTTTTAAATAGGCTTCTTCCTCATAAAAAGAGGTTTAGCAGTGCTGGGAAAACTCCTCAGTTCTTTCGATTTTTTTTTCAAAAGAACACGATTGCAGCATGAACGTAAGTGAAGTTTTTCAGAAAAACTACTATTTTCCAAAAAAACCTCTGCTGTGTAGACACGCCCTGAGTGTGAACATTCACAGCTGGAACATTCATTCATTTTCTAATGAGGTTTTAAACATGAAAGCAATAATATTCATACCTCGTCTTGCAATTGCATCACCAGGAGCATTGGTTCAAATTGCAAATGCTGAAATATCGGTAGCTGACAATCTTAAATGTGGGCAAAGCAAACCATGGGATGAAATGGTGCCAGCCTGAATGGTTTATTCATTTTCTGCTGGAGCTGCACGTCAGCTTTTCCTGCTCCTTAGCTGGCCACCTACTGCCATTTCAATTGCTCATTCTGGTAATTTTGCAGTACGTGAGATGAGTGGGTCTGAAAGAGCACAGCATTTTGTCAGGATATTAACCTCCATTTCACACTGGTCAATATGCAGAGTCCAACTGTCCAGTCTTCTTGTAGGTTTACTTTCCTTAGCTACATGGGATTGCTCTGATCCTCTTCCTAATGGACTGCCATCTGATGCAGAATGAGAAGAAAATATCTACACATTGCTCATGCAAAATTGCTTCTATGTGGTGGCGCTAGACTAACCCCTGGTTTCTGTTGTTGGAAGCTGAGATGTCTGAAGTTGAGATCCCTGCAGAGAAATGAGTGTGAGAAAGAGGGTTATATATTCAGCAGCTCAATCCGATTCTCAGAGGAAAGACTGGGAAAGTTCAGTGTAATTAGCCTATTTTTGCATAATAACTTTACAGACTTCTCTCTGGGTAGGTCCATTAGATAGGGACAAACTTGTGTATTCTACCGTTGCCCATAAACATAGGCAGCAGTTTAATGGTTAATGGTTACAAAGAAACGGTATCCATTTTGATCAGTACATCAAAGTGAAAACTCCCATGAATCTCTTACTGTAATGTACATTTTATAATGACAGTTAACGCTGGCATTTTCAAGGCTCATGCTAGAATTCTGATGAAAAGTGAACGGATATTTGCCTCTTTCCGTGTCAGCACCCACTGTATAGAAAATATCAGTAAACAAAAATCCACCCCCTGATTCCCTGCTCCCTTAACAGGAAAATCCAAGCTTTCTGATTCGAATACATATTTAATGTTCTGCACTCTCATTCTCTCTGTGTGATGTTAAGCTAGTATGAAAGCACAATGGGAGTAACCATGGCGTCCACAGAGCCGGATACACACGAGAGAGCTGCTGCTTGGAGGAGCTTTGGAACAGCCAGGCTTAATGGAACACTGTATTTTCAGTTTAAATGGTAATAAGCAGGTGAGTAGAATGGGCACAGCTACTTTTCTGAACACTATGCTTTTGTGCCCTAATAAATTAAAACAAACATTTGGTAGGTATCCCACAAGAGATGCCCTGAGGATTCTAGGTCAGAGCCCTGAGCAAAGTCTCCACCCAGCATCTCTTCTTCGCAGAAGTGAGCTGTCTCAGTGAGTGCCTGAGGTAATGGTGGGGAAGAGAGAAAAATATATATTTGGAAGATTTCTCTGGCGTTGCTTGAGTCCTTCAGGACAGGGGACTGAGATGTGCAGAAGTCAGGCAAGGGGCTTGGGGAAGTAGGAATCAGGGTTGGGGAGTAAGGAGGGATTCAGGTCAAGGGGCTGGGAGGGTGGGGGTGTAAGGGTAAGGGTTGAGCTGAGAAAGGGCTTGGGGCAGGGGTGGCGGTGCAGGAGCCAGGGCAGGGAGTTGGGAGCTGTGGGATGGGCTCCACCTGCTCCCCAAGGCCAGTCTGGTGGCTGCTCCAAAGCTTTCTGATGCTGTCAGGACAGAGGGGGCATGCTTGCTTGCTGCTCCCCTGCCATTCTGGGGTATAACTGTCCACCACACTTGCTGTTCCCTGTGGTCATTCTGGAGTACAATTGTCCCTCCTGTGTCTCTCACTCTCACACACACACCTCTTCCTGTCTGATGAGAAACAATTGCATTCCATGCGCAGCCCATTGTCCTAGCACAACCAAAGCAAGTCCTTGCTTTAAGTTATGGTAAGAGGGAGCTGCAAACAAATTTGGTGGTCCTAACTCTTACCATTTAGGAGGAAGTCTTGAACAGACAGACTCCCAGATGTACAGACAGACACTCTCTCAAATATATAGTGGAACATATATATGAGAATAGGAAAACATTCTTATGATATGACAGTCACGGCTGGTGACAGACTTCTCTAGACCCTAGATAATGTGGAGGGCTTGGCTCTGGGCCCCCAGGAAGGGGAAGAACTATGGGCAGCCAGCCTTTCAGACCATGCCATGCCCTCCCAGCCAGCCCTTAGCACCACACAGAATTCTGGTGATGGTTTAAAAGGTCCAGGGCTCCAGGTACCACTACTGCCATGGTATCTGTAGCCCGGACTCCCAGGCCCTTTTAAATTGCCAGGCCCTGGGCCAATGGGCCCCTTTGTTCCCCTCAGCCCCATCAGCAGTCCTGATAACAGCACTTACCTCCTAGTCTGTTGTGTTTTGGACCACACAGTAATATGGTTGTGCTTTCGTTTATCAAGATAACACTTGGAGCTGAGCTAATAATTTGTAGTGTTGTTACTGTTACAGTTTATTTTGCAGGTGCATTTAGAGGTCAGTTGAGTTGGGGCACCACTGTGCTAGCGCTGTCCTATGTTACATGAGGCCTCTGTCCCAAACAGCTTACAATCTAAAAGGCAAGGCATAAGAAGTGGATGAGGCAAACAAGCAGGATGGTACTGAATGTGAAAGACAGGACGAAAAAGAACAGTTCCACTGTAAGTTCTTTGAAGTTGGGACTATCTTTGTTACATGTGTATACAGTGCATAAAGGAGTCCTGGCCCATGACTGGGTCTCCTATATACTACTACAATACAAATAACAAAGATAGGATGACTCAATTGGGAACAGCAGTCACAACTTGCTACTTGCCTACCCATTATCAGGTTGCAAACGTGTGATGAAAATGTCAGCAAAAACAATTTTATGAGACAAAGTTGGCCTGTTTTCCTGCTGCTGAAATTTTTCTGAAACAGTTTATACTGTTCCTGTTTGTAAAATGCATGGAACATCATAGTTCTGTAAATGTATTGGTGAAACTATCCAGTCAAATTATTGTTCTGCAACTTTAAAAAACTGTCTGATGGCAGACAGTTTTCAGAGTTAATTTAAATATCTGAAATAATGAAGTGTGAAATTACATTGTGTTGCAATTTTAGGAGTCCTGACCCATCAAGGAAGTTGGGGGGATATCACAAGGTTATTGTTGGGGGGTGTCCAATACTATTACCCTTGTTTCTGTGCTGCTGCCGTTGGCAGCAACTCTGCTTTCAGAGCTGGGGTGTGGTGGATGCTGTCCAGGAGTCCAGCTCTGAAGGCACAGCTGCTGCCAGCAGCACGGCATGGCATGGTATTGCTACCTTTATTTCTTTGCTGCTGCCTGCAGGACTGGGCCCTTGGTCAGGAGCTACCTCTTTTCAACCAAAAGCTCTGAAGGCAGCAGCTCCTAAGGAAGTGTGGCACGGTATGGAATGGCCACTCTTACTTCTGAGCTGTTGCTGGCAGGGCAGATGTGAAGGCAGTGCCAAAGTAAAAGTGGACTCTCCTACTTCCTGTAACAGAGACCTCCAAACGTGCTGACGATACTGTGAATAAACCCAATGCAAATTTCCAATAGAAAATACCTCTTACCTTCGATGATCTGTTTTTTTTTCTTTCCTTGTGCTCACTAGTATTCAAGAACCCTTGTAAATTCCAAGAGATATAATTGCATAAAATACACAACAAACCTAGAATCATAGAATCATAGAATAATAGGACTGGAAGGGACCTCGAGAGGTCATCGAGTCCAGCCCCCCGCCCTCAAGGCAGGACCACGCTCCATCTACACCATCCCTGACAGATGTCTATCTAACCTGTTCTTAAATATCTCCAGAGAGGGAGATTCCACCACCTCCCTTGGCAATTTATTCCAATATTTGACCACCCTGACAGTTAGGAATTTTTTCCTAATGTCCAATCTAAACCTCCCCTGCTGCACTTTAAGCCCATTACTCCTTGTCCTGTCCTCAGAAACCAAGAGGAACAAATTTTCTCCTTCCTCCTTGTGACACACTTTTAGATATTTGAAAACCGCTATCATGTCCCCCCTTAATCTTCTTTTTTCCAAACTAAACAAGCCCAGTTCATGAAGCCTGGCTTCATAGGTCATGTTCTCTAAACCTTTAATCATTCTTGTCGCTCTTCTCTGTACCCTTTCCAATTTCTACACATCTTTCTTGAAATGTGGCACCCAGAACTGGACACAGTACTCCAGCTGAGGCCTAACTAGTGCAGAGTAGAGCGGCAGAATGACTTCACGAGTTTTGCTTACAACACATCTGTTGATACAACCTAGAATCATATTTGCTTTTTTTGCAACAGCATCACACTGTTGACTCATATTCAACTTGTGGTCCACTATGACCCCTAGATCCCTTTCCGCCATGCTCCTTCCTAGACAGTCGCTTCCCATCTTGTATGTATGGAACTGATTGTTCCTTCCTAAGTGGAGCACTTTGCATTTCTCTTTATTAAACCTCATCCTGTTTACCTCTGACCATTTCTCTAACTTGCTAAGGTCATTTTGAATTATGTCCCTATCCTCCAAAGAAGTTGCAACCCCACCCAGTTTGGTATCATCTGCAAACTTAATAAGCGTACTCTCTATCCCAATATCTACATCATTGATGAAGATATTGAACAGTACGGGTCCCAAAACAGACCCTTGAGGAACTCCACTTTTTATCCCTTTCCAGCAGGATTTAGAACCGTTAACAACAACTCTCTGACTACGGTTATCCAGCCAATTATGCACCCACCTTATCGTGGCCCTATCTAAGTTATATTTGCCTAGTTTATCAATAAGAATATCATGCGAGACCATATCAAATGCCTTACTAAAGTCTAGGTATATGACATCCACCGCTTCTCCCTTATCCACAAGGCTCGTTATCTTATCAAAGAAAGCTATCAGATTAGTTTGGCATGACTTGTTCTTCACAAACCCATGCTGGCTATTCCCTATCACTTTATTACCTTCCAAGTGTTTGCATATGATTTCCTTAATTACCTGCTCCATTATCTTCCCTGGGACAGACGTTAAACTGTCTGTAGTTTCCTGGGTTGTTCTTATTCCCCTTTTTATAGATGGGCACAATATTTGCCCTTTTCCAGGCAAATAAATTAATAAATTAATAAACCTAATAAATTACTTGTGAAACTGTGACCTTTTCTAGGTGCTGCCCTAGTATACCATTTCTGGCAGGGCCCTAACCCTCTTCTTCTCACACTTTAATTAAATTAGTTCTACAACGGAGCTTTTAAAACATAATGCAATGAAAAATAAGCCCAAATTAATTATGCTCTTTACACACAATCATAAAAAACACCCAATAAAGGTCAAATTTTCAGAAGAGCTCTGTATCCTGCAAGTTGGAGTCTTAATAAGTGCTGATCTTTGGTGTCTGACTAAGAGAAGAACTCTTGAAAATGTGACCCCAATTGGGAATGGTGAGCTTTCTTGAAAATCTGGCCCTAAAAGTGACCAAGTTGAAGGCCAGGTTAGCAGCTAAAATTTAGGATGACCTTGCTACATCTTCCAGGACTCTGAAAAATGTCATGTACTATTGACTATAGTTGTCCACCTAAGCCCTACTGGAGATGCAGGTAGGTCAATGGAAAGATTATCCTATTAGCTTAGCTACCGCTTCTCAGAAAGGTGGATAAGGACAAGGACAGAAAAACTCTTTCCATGTATCCTAAGTATCTATATTGCAGCACTACGGAGGCATAGCTGCAGCACTGCGTCTTTGTTTCCGTAGTGGCTGCAGAGTAGACATGGGTGATGTTGCTCAGTGAATTCCAAGAGGAAAAAGCCAAACCCTAAGCCCTGCTAATCAGACCAAAGACGCATCCAGCTCAGTATTCTATCTTCTGACAGTGGTCAGTGCCAGGTGCTTCAGAAAACAGAACAGGTATCATCAAGAGATCCATCCCGTTGCCCATTCCCAGCTTCTGGCAAACAAGTCTCAGCTTGACAAAGTCCTGGCTGGGTTGATTTAGTTGGGATTGGTCTTGCCTTGGGCAGGGGGCTGGACTTGATGACCTCCTGAGGTCTCTTCCAGCTCTATGATTCTATGACACCATTCCTGCCATCCTGGCTAATAGCCATTGATGGACCTATCCTCCATTAACTTCTTTGAACCCCATTAGAGTCTTGGCCTTCACATCATCCTCTGATAAGGAGTTCCATAGGTTGGCTG